TTCTGTCTCAGGATATCTCAATTTGGTAAACTGGTAAACCATTTCTTCTTCTTGGATTTCTATTGGTCTGTTTCAGCTACCATAGTGTCAAGTTGAAACCTCTCTTTTTCTCTTCGAAATATGATTGGTTTGTACAATTTTATCCGCCAATCAAACATGTCATTGTCATCAGACCAAGAACTAACTATTCCTATTCTTTTTTAAAACTTTATTTTGATATTAGTCTAACATTATTATTTCGAAAACTTACAAGTAACTCACTCTTAGTCTTAATTAAAATTAAACTTTATTTAAGTATTAATAAACTTTGATGTGTCCCTTTAATTATAAATCTTCAAACTAACTTAGACCTCTTGACCTTAACTCGATCAGTAATGGACAATTTTATAATTACGTTTCTGTTTTATAATTTCCGTTTGTGTTTTAGAATTACCCCAAAACAATTTCAGTATTATTTTATATTTCTCCATTACAGTTATGTGACCTTTTTGACCTAATCATTAAGAATTTAGTATTTCGTTTTTTTATAAACACTAACAACTATTACATAAACATTTCCTATCAGACGAAATGAAATGAAATGGGGTTTAACGTCCTAGTCTTCTGCACCTAACCTGGGCTAATTGAAGACGGGCATACGCCATACAGTGTGCTATGAGGGAAATTTTGCCCGGGCAGCGGCGCTACGGCCTACTCTTATATCGAATTCCAACTGCCAAGTATTATTTTATATTTCTCCATTACAGTTATGTGACCTTTTTGACCTAATCATTAAGAATTTAGTATTTCGTTTTTTTATAAACACTAACAACTATTACATAAACATTTCCTATCAGACGAAATGAAATGAAATGGGGTTTAACGTCCTAGTCTTCTGCACCTAACCTGGGCTAATTGAAGACGGGCATACGCCATACAGTGTGCTATGAGGGAAATTTTGCCCGGGCAGCGGCGCTACGGCCTACTCTTATATCGAATTCCAACTGCCAAGTGATCTTTTACGTGCACGCCAATGTGTACACGGGACCTCGTTTTTTCGTCCCATCCGAACGACTAGGCAGCTGTCCTTGTCAGGCCCTCCGTTCTGCCCTATCAGACGAATACTGAATAAAATAGCATTTAGTAAATATATATTTAACGTTTATATTACGTTTCTAAAACAAAAATTTAATTACACAAAATCATATACGGACAAAATCCACCGTATACCTCCACTTTTCTTAAAAAAATTGTCTTATTCTTACTTTAACCTCGTATTAAACTCGTATTATATGACTGCGATATTCTCACAATTTAACGAGCCAATAATTTTAGTTTTTTCCCCAGAAAAACTATAACCAACATCCCTTGATTAATTACATGGGATCTTAACATAACCTAACTTTTTAATCAAAAGTTAAATTACCAAAATTTAGTCTTACCCGACTAAAACTAAAATCTTGAGACTATGGACTAGAGCCTCAAAATTATATTATATACGAAACAACGAAAAACACAAATTAACGAATCACAGTAGAAAGCACGGCCAGTTAACTAGAGTTTATCACTCGCAAACGTAATCCTTAGATCTGCCGTCTTTCCACTGCAATCCGGAGACAACATTAGTTCCTTACTTTATTCCCTATTCCGTTTCTTTATCATTATTATTTGTCCTTAGTTATATCCCCAAAATTTCAATTTTTTTTTTAAAACCTACGCCCTAGAGACCCTCACTTTAACTTTAATTTTACTCAAATTTACTGCAGGTCATGTTAACCTGGCAATATACATACCTATAGCTCATGATATTATATTGTTTACTAAACCTGTCTATCAAAACTTATGAATGGCTATAATGTATTTCCTACAGTTAAATTTTAAATATTTAGTTTCTTATCAGATTTTAATTTTAAATTAATATTATTTGGTCTGTAAACAAATTTAACACATTTAATTTACCAATCAAAATATATTTACCAACTTTTGCGAATATCATCACCAGATCTCGTATTTCCACCAAAAATTTTCTGTTGCTGGATTGTACCGGTTTTTGGTCTTCTTAACGTCTTCCAAATCAAATATGTATTCTTCTTCTTAAGTGACTTCTTACCCCAAAGGTCTAAACTTCAGCACGGCACCAAATCGAATATGTAAGACTATGCAGTGCTGTGCAGTCACTGGTTAGATGTGGAAAATATGTCGGGAGAACTCCCCACATCCAACGTGTGATGCATACTCTCTTTTCTTCTAATCTTCTTCCAGGTTACTCGATCTCGTAGTCACGTGCACCAAATCGAATATGTAGCACCATAGGTCTTTTGTCTGACGTGGAGAGCGGGCGATCCTAAAAACCGGTCGCCACATCCTACATACGACCCATGAATCTTTTCTTACTACATATTTCTGTAGACTTGTGATCGTCTAGAATTTGTCTCTAACTGTCCTTACTTCTGCTTCACGTTGTGTATTTACTTCTTACAGTTTCTTAAGACGTTTGTCTTACCAGGAATAACAATGCAACAGTTCGCTTCTACAGTATATATATAGCTGAAAACATGTATACAAGTATAGCACAGATCACAATACTAGCTAAAACCATATCTCCATCCTAGCCAGCCTCGCGGCTGTTTAAGAACTCAGATGGAACCTCTCTGGAATCTAATGGAAGTCTGCTTGAAAGTTTCAAATATATATCTTATATAGCACTCACGTATATCACGCATAACAAAGTGTGTTCATGGCCCTGAACTTGTGTAATTTCTGATATGATTAGTTAAATTAAGCCAAATGATGCAATTAGAATAATTCCACTCACGTGTAATCTGGTGGTATTTTATTGACACATGTTTTGGCTAAATAACTCTTTTTATGTGTCAACTGTCAGTTACAGACTTAGCTGACTTTAGTACAATTCTACATATATGTGAATTTAATAACTTGCCACCAAAGATATTAATTAATGAAATATAATGCCATCTTATTTCTCTATTCCTTGCCTATAAATTGAAAAAAATGTCGCAACGACAATATTGCTACAATAGCTAGACACCACATTTCCCCTCTGCCGGAAGAAATACAAAACTAGTAACTACGAAATCATTTTGTACTAACAATGTAATCTTTAAACCATACTGGTTTTGTTCTTACTCTAGAGCTTCTAACACTTTCAGAATGGAAATTATTTGGATGGACAACGTTAGGTTCATTATTATTATTACAACCATAATCGTTATTTGTATTTGAGAACCTATCTATAGCATTTTCCTCCTCTCTTTGAAAATAATTACCATAAAATGGAGATGAATGACATAAATTCCATTTCTGACCATTATCAAGTATAACACTTCTTTGACCAACTTTAAACGTAATTCGAAATGGATCGGTGTATTAACTATGACCCTTAGGCACATACCAATACTTTTTAATTCTCACAAGATTGGCTTGATTAAAAGTTCGAATAGTTGCTCCTTTACGGGTATCTGTGTAAGATTTACTTGAATCTTGTTTGATCTTAACACGCTGATCTATGTCAGAATTGGAAAGTCGAGTTGGATGTTGTGTGATCCCAATTATGTCAAGTAAAGTGTGCATATGAAAATAATAATAGACCTATCGTACACGCAAAATCGTATTTTAATTCACGTGTTAAATGAACACGCGTACAGCTGTGGCGGCTTCTTTGATGATTATCCAATCAACAATCTTAATCTCCTGGCCACTAGCGGGCACTAAGGTGCTAATTAATTGATGAGAAATGAAATGAAATGGGGTTTAACGTCCTACTGTTCTGCACCTAAACTGGGTTAATGAAGACGGGCACACGCCATACAGTGTGCTATGAGGGAAATTTTGTCCGGGCAGCGGCACTACGGCCTACTCTTATATCGAATTCCAACTGCCAAGGGATCCTTTACGTGCACGCCAATGTGTACACGGGACCTCGGTTTTTCGTCCCATCCGAACGACTAGACAGCTGTCCTTGTCAGGCTCCCGTCCTGCATCACTGACAAGGGAGAACCACGCCGGAAAATCTGAATGAACTTTCTCTGCCAATGCAGGGATGGAACATAATTGATGAGATTATTTATTATTTATATATATGAAATTAGATATAGCCTATATTTATCCAGGGTCGTATTGGGGAATGGCACGTAATAATTCAATATCAATGATTTTATTCCGTCTGCATGTTAACGCTTATTTTTAAAAATATAAGTTTGTGTTTTATTTAAACGTAGTTGCCTCCCTTTAGCTTTCATTTGATACACAGCAATAATCCGAGATGATTCGCTTTATGACAACCGAGAGTACATTATTTTTTTTATACTTTTGCTTTGAAAAAAAGACACAATTTGATTTATATTTATACAGTGGTGCCCACGCATTAGAAGTCTTTATCTCTATCTTTTTATATTCTGTTATTTCGTCATATATTTGTTAAAATATCAAAATTTAATTTCAGCCACGACGCGTGCACATGCTTGTGACGTGATTAATCCAGTATTTTGTCATGTGACCATGACCTAACCGGAAGGTTAGCAGTAGCAGCACATATACCCGGAGGCTCAAACTCTTGTGTTTCAGGTAAGAATTCTTATAATTTGTGCGAAAATATATTATAATAATGTCTAATATGTATTTGTCAACAACTATAGTACTTTCTAGAAAACGGCGGCACAAGACAATGACCGTAAATTAACGTATCGACGAGGGATGAAGGTTTCTACATCGTCTGCAATATGTTATTTTTAAAGCTGAGGCGAGCAGCCCGTGTAGAGATATTAGTTTTTTCTTATCCGCTTCAACCTCCATTCTTGCGTGAATTTTTTTGCTTAATCTGCATGACAGCTGTTTTAAATATTAATGTCATATTTGCAGACGTCATATCATCTAAAAATCATAGTGTAGGGCACTTAACGGACCGACAACGGGTCATGGTTTGCAACCAGTGCTCGCAATGCACGCGAGTTGTTTATCATATTTGTGCATTTCAACGAAGCGATTTCTACGTCACTTGTTTGATACAAGGAGTGACAAAGTTGAACTAGTGATTACAGAGGTAGTATTGATAATATACGAGATAAAGTATAATACAATGTTACTTCTGTCGGATAATATAGACGTTACACCACACATCTAACGGTAAATATGTCAAGCATATTTCTAACCCCAGAATGACCTATTTATACATATGCTCCATGTTTTGTGCGTTGCCGTGAAAGCAGCGTTATACAATGTATGCCATGCCCCATTATTGACCTAAAAATGTAGATGCGTTTACATTGTTTAGTTAGGACATGTGATTTAATCAACTTAATATTTATCTAGACTTTCAAAATATTAAAAATAATATTTTTACATTGGAATTTTTTGGGACAGAACAGACGTTCCAGTTTCTAATTTAGATGTTCATTGTACTGCAGATGAAATTCCTAAGCACATTAGAGTTGTCATAAAATTCCATAGTGACAGTGATTTGCCTATCTACTTGCATTACACTAATAATGACATAAACCGTATGAATTCATGTTATTGAAACTTATTGTCCCCCATTTTGCAAAGAATGCAGGGGACTATTAAATTGGGCTTGTTTTGTTCAGTGTCTTTTTATCTGTCTGTCCGTCACACCTTTCGGGACACAATAACTCTGCTTCTTTGAGCTAGAATTTTTAGACTTGGTGAAGGTGTTTATTAGGTGAATGCCTTGACTGAGTTAGATGATGAGCATTTTCTGCTTAGGTTAAAGTAGCGAAGTCTCTAAATCAATATCATCCAAAATCTTCAACACTGAAAACACGATTTATTTGTCAAATTAAATCAACATTGATGTTGTGATCTTACCGGAAAAAGGTGGGCTTTTGATATCCAATATTTAAGACAAAATAAACATTTTACCATTGGTACACAAATGGTGTACCATAATGCGCTTCAACCCCAGTTGTGTCAAGAGACTCGAGGGACGAGGCTAGACACATTGCACCAAATCAAACGGCGTATGTAGACTGGAATAACCAGATGCTAGAAATTTGCACTCGCTTGAGACTTCTCTCTTATTTCGCCAAACTTAACTGATTTGAAATTGGAGTAAAAATGGAAACCATTGAATGTAAATCAGTTTATATACATCCATATTACAGTATTATATGCGTTGCAACCCACTTTTGTCAATTTCTAGGTCCCAAATGTTAGCGATTTAGCTCCTTTAAGCAGAGTGATAAGCAATTTGATTGGTGAAGACTTCAGATCTTTACAACTTTGATTCTAATTGAGTGAGAATGTTGAAACTTGGCATACATCAGTGCCTTGACAAAGTTCAACAAACTGCATTTCCAATAATTTTTATTACACGAGTACCTTGAGTAATTTCAATAATGAACATTTTCTTGTGTCAATGTTTTGGGGCATGATGTAATTTCCATTTGAGTGAGAGTGGAAAAACGGGGTGGTTAGTTTCGTTACATTAATGAAACGACATGATGAACGAGTCTAAACGTATCCCAGGGGACAATACTATCGATGTAGACTTGAATAGCCAGGCACCAAAGAATGCTACTCAATTGGGACTCTTCCTGTATTTCGCCGAACATAACTGATTAGAAATTACAGTAAAAACAGGAAAAATTAAATGTAAATCAGTTTATATATATATTCATATTATATGCATTATGACTCATTTGTGTCTATTTCTAGGTGCCCAAGATAAAGAATTACATTTAGCTCCTTTAATGATATATTCAAACTAATTTACTGTACATATCTATCAAAAGATTGCTTCAAATCCCCCTCTAAACATTCAAATCGCAAGAAACTATCCCAAACTGTAGAAATCTCTTTTATGCAGCCTTGTTTGTCAAGTAACTTGATTGAAGGAGGGCCCATTTTAAAGCCTGTATTTATCCTTACTCACTGCCCATTTACAATATCTATCAAAGTCTTATTACCAGTAAATTCTTGGATTATCCCCAGCCAACTTGATTCAATAACAGACCTTATGATCTAAAGCACATGTGTTAGATCACTTGACCACCCATTTCCCTGTCTCCAAGGAAACACACAAATGATTAATTCCAAAAGATTTCTAATTAGCAAAAGGCACGACTGCTATAATAGGTTGATGTGTTTGCAAATAACAAAGTTTCATAAAGATATCTTGTGATATGCTCCGGAAACGAAATTGGGATGGACAGAGCCTGTTTCAAGATCTTCCCCTTACTTCCTTCAGTGCGGGATAATAACATACAATAAAATTAAATAAAAAATTAGAGTCTAATTTCAGAGGTACATGTATCATTATTTGGCACTTTCGATTTAATCTATAGTCAAACGATATATTGGATTATTGTGGTATTTTTAATGTCAATTTTATTTTTTAAATACGGAAACGAAATCTGAATGAACCAAGCTTGTTTCAATATCTCAGTTCTTACCCTAACTTCGTTCGGCGCGGGATAAAAATTAAATAAAAAATGATTTTCTAATTTCAAAGGTAATCATTATTTGATACTTTAGATTTAACCTGTAGTCAAACGGTATATTGGATTATTGCATTAAAAAAATAAATATTGTCAATAAAATTTACATATTGTGATTAATTGATTTATAAAATTTATTGTCTACCTCTACACTTGAGTGAACATAAAAATACATTTGCTTAAATCTGAAACGTATAAATCGGTCATACGTTGTACTGTGGTTCTATCTGCAACGCAAGAATGGGTGTCAAAATAGCGCCCTTGACGTTATTTGGCCAGGCTCTCTATATACATGTATATAAGGCTCTGTTCTAAGTCATCCCTAATGGCAGCTACATCTACATGTACAAGCACAGGTACACATACTACATGCGCTGTCACTCTTGCATCCACATCTGATTAACCACATGACAGACTGCGGAGCAAGTTGGCCGGTTGTAATGTTCTCAATTTAGTATCCCAGCAATACTGTTCAAGATCAAGTTCCAGTGGACCAAGATCTTCCAGTGAACGCCACACAATAGCTTTTTGATGTATCATGCGTTGTGCAAGACTACATGGTTTGGGTGGGGAATAATGACGATACATTTCCAGTTTCAGATGTCCAAACCCTCCAGCGTGTTTCAGACATAGATTTCTAGAACTCTGTCCATAACAAGCTGACATAAATTGTGTAAGCAATGATTCTATTGGAGTGTCTATTACCCTGACGAGTGAGAAAATATACAATCAAGCTCCAACCACTTTCTAAACTGTTCTTTCCCCACGACGTAGCTGCATGTAACCGTGTCACATCCAGTAAGAGTATGAGCTGGCAGGATTTCAATGATAATTGACATGTGTTTCTCCGTAGTTTGACCAATGTCAATGGTTGTTCTTTCCTCTATTGGCGATTCCACTGTAAGCTTGTTATGGACATCGGTGACTGAAACACACTGGGGGGTATAGGCATCCAAAACTGGAAATGTATCATCATCATCCCCACCTAAACCATGTAGTCAAGCTCCAACGAATGATCCATTTGTAGCGAATGTATAAATATGTCATCGCAAAGCTATTGTGTGGCGTTCACTGGAAGATCGGAATCCGCCGGAACTTGATCCGGAACTGTATTACTTGGGAGAAGGACACTAAATTGAAAACATTAAAACCGGTAAACTTGCTCCAGATTCTGCCATGTGGCTCGTCAGATGTGGATGTCTGAAAAAAACAATAGAATAGTTTCATGGTTGGACTGAAGCCTGCAGGCCGCGTCACAAAGCCTGCCAAAATTTTCCCTGCTAACATTTACCAATACGACATATGTATCCTGTGAACTACTATGTACAATGCTTTCGTTGGTTTTATCTGCGTCCAATGTTCGGGCCAAATTCATAAAAACTCATAAAAAAATGTACAAACTTTTAATCTTGCTGTTAGTTACGTGTTTTCCTGTCACAGATTAACGTCGATTTTCCAAGACTGAGATTCTCGGAAATCCACGCGGCCTGCAGGCTGGAGTCCAACACTGAAACTATTCAATTGTTTTTCAGATAACTAGTATCGTGATGTATAACAACCGTTGTGTGTGAAAATAAATTGGAGAGATTTCGATTTGACAGTTTTTACATATTTTTGAAACAGGTCTCAAAGTGTGTTGGTTCTGTTATGCAAGATCATTTTCAACGTTCCAAAGTAAAAGTTCGGTGCTAAGACCCCCTAAAGATAAATTTTAAATGTTCCTATCATTAATTAGAACAGTTTTCGCTTTAGTTTTTATACGTCCACATTCATAATGTTCGACGTATTATGCCGTCACCCCTGTCTGTGTGTGTGTGTATGTATGTCTGTGGGTCGCCTACAGGGGGCATTTCTTAACGTACATGTATCATCTTGAAACTTTGCATATTTATTCTTTGTACCCTAAGGAACATCCCTATCGTTTGGGGTGCATGCCCAGCCCCCAGGGACAGTGCCAAGCCCATTTTCTTTTTGTGTGTCTGTGTGTCGCCTACAGCCCACAATTCTTAATCTATCGTCTTGAAAATTTTTTATACTTATTCCTTATACCCTAAGGCCTGACCCCCTGGGACAGATGATCCACGCCCAATGTCTGTGTGTCTTGTGTTTCCTGCACAGGCCGCAATTGTTAACAGATCATTTTGAAACTTTGCATACCTATTCCTTATACCTTAAGGATGACCCCTATTGTTTTTTGGTGATTGCCCAACCCCCAGGGGCAGAGCCATACCCATTTTTCTTTGTGTCTGTATGTGTTGCCTACAGGCCACGATTCTTAATGGATCTTCTTTGAACTTGTGATATGTATTCCTTATAGCCTAAGGACGACAACTGCATGTCCCGACCCCAAGGGACAGAGCCACACCCAATTTTTGTGTTTGTCGTTTACAGGCCGCAATTCTGAATGAATCAGCTTAGTACTTGGCATATGTATTCCTTATAGCCTGAGGGCATCAACTATTGATTTTGGTGAATGCCCCGACCCCCAAGGGCAGAGTCACACCCACTTTTTGCCTTTAGCGCCCAAAAGCCACAATTCTGATTGGATTATCTTGGTATACATATTCCTTATACTCTAAGGACGACCCCCTCCTCCAAACCCCCTGCACCCCCACCCCATGCCCTTTCGGCGGTACCACACCCACTTTTTGTTGATATTTTGTTGATTAT